TTCTTAAAACATTGGCTTATGCAATTTAATACGGACAGATTTTTAAGCTGCATGTAAAATTCTTTTATGTGTCTACATTATTTAAGAGCATGAGTCACATTTCTGAAGGCTGTACCACCCAAAAGATCCAGACCCAGTCATGCTTCAAAACCTCAAGAAGGAGGAAAAAGGATATGCAAACCACACAACTTGCACCGTGCTTAGCCAGCTCATCTTCCTGTACTGCCTCAGAAGACAAAAGGGGATACTAACTGGAGGATGTTCTGAGTCACCCGTTGGAAATAACTCTTTCCAGTGCCAACTATCCAGATGATATTTGGCAGTGTGAATATTCCTTTATGAATAAGCCATTTCTGAAAAGTCAAAAGTAGGACTTAAGCTCCTAAAGCAGTAACAATTTCTTTTAAATTAGTGCCTATTTTATATTACTATTTTATCTCTACAATATTCAAACAAACTACTGAACTGCAATAGTAGCAGAATCCCATTTATATGGCACTTTCATGAAATAACGCTGTCATTAACAAACAAGAATTACATACTCTGAGATGGTAAGTTGACACAATGGCAAAACAAGTGATGGTCACATGGTTTGACAATTTGATGATTTAAATTTTAATGAGTAAATTTCCCATTCTTTTCACACTGCAGAAAAAAGGGGAATTTTCTCTTTAGCAAAATGAAAATTGCTCCTAGAGAACAAACAAAAACCTGTTACCAAATGGTTCTCTTGGAACTGGTATAGAGCATCCTGAGGAGCAGGAAACATGTACAATTCCTACACCACATCACCTAAGAGTACAACTGAAGATATTAGAAGTTTTTTGTTTTTATTTTTGTTAACATCATCCTTTCCAAGAAATCTGCTCTCAAATACTCGAGTGATGATAGAGTAATATACTAAGAAATGACACACAGCAAGCATTTCCTACTGAAGGACCAGGCTTATTTGACCACTTCTGAGGAGTAATGCATAAAACTAGCAGTAGCAATTCTTCTGCTCTCACAAAAAATCGAGCAAGAATCAGGGCAAGCATTACTGAATTTTATATAAGAGCACCAGTGTGATAAGCTTGTGTACCAGAGAGACAATTAATTCTGCCAGTTTTCAGAATCGCTTCTGTAGAGAATTTGCAAAAGTCTTCTATACACACAAATCATTTTGCACAAAAGCCATATCTTTGATCTCACCTGTGAGAGCTAACATGTATGTAAAAAATCTTTCCAAAATCTGGATTACAAGCCTGGTTTTGCACTGTTCACAAGAAATACAGCTGGCAGGCCCAGACATCTGTCATAAAGGTGTTTTGCAGAAAATTTCAGATATGTAAAAGGTTACTTGGAAAATAATGCAAGGTTTGAGAAGGTTTTAATTTCTACTATTTTATTTTTAAATGTAATTTATCTTCTTTTGTCACTGGAACGGGAAGAGACTAAAAAGACATTATAGTGTGGTTTTTTTTTTTTTTTTGCATTGTTTTCAGTTTTGCAACTCTTTGTTTTGTTTTCCATCAATTCATTAAAGATTTCTCAGAAAGCTAGTGGCGACGGGGATCACCTTTTTTCAAAAATTTCAGGGCCAGGAATGGGTTAAATCATTTCAGTAACTCCAACAATCCTGATCATGAACAACGAGCAATTTCTTTTGCTTTCCAGGTAGATGCACTGACATGCATTTTTTGGAAAATGTTATCTGTCTTGACGAAGATTTAAAAAGTTAATCATTCAACAATTTCTTGAATAATTTGATAAAAATGTCATGTCATATCAGTTGAAAATATTTTGAAGCACTATTTTCAGTGTTTTTCATTGCAGTTTTGACACATTTTTAGTGAAGTTATGGTAGCTAAAAAACCCACAATGATCATTTTGAAATGGAATGTTCTAAACATTTTTCAGCTTGTTTCTCAAGTACATTTCTGAGGAAAAAAAACAATTCACACCCAGGATAATTTTCAAATTTGAAAAAAGGCCGTAGTTTTTTCAACTAGCTTTGCAGCTACAATTTTAAACATTGTCTTCTGCTCTGTTTCTTTAAGGTTTCAGACAGATTTACAGCTAACTCTTGTTTAAAGAGAATTATTTGCTTTTACACAAGAATTGTCCTATATTGACATAATGCCTGTGATTCTGTACTACAAATATATATATGTGGAGCTGTACTCCTTAAAAATAAATTTTGTCCTGTATTTCTCAAACTGCTGCCCTTTATTTTCTTCAGCTATAGGTAGTCATGAAAATCATAACCTAAAGATAACAGAACTGTATAATAATTGATTATAAAACTAATTGAGAGGTAATTATTGGAATAGCAATTACATAGATATCTGGTCCAAAATTCACAAAGCACCGAGGCAATCCAATTTGTTAAATTAGGAAATCGTTTTATAAGGTTACTAGGGAAGAGATAAAAGCTAGACTAGACATGTCAGAGACATGACATAGGCTTCAGCAGAAACAGGTCCCAAAAACTTTCAATTTAGGTTTCATAGACAGCATTTGCCATTCCACTGAGACCCACTTCAGAGAAAAGAAGTGCTCAAGTAAGAATGATAAAGTGAGTTTTTTCATGAGAAGAAAATGCTAATAAGGTTCCACTTTACATTGATGCATATATAAAACTGCTTTTCTCCTTTAGCTGCCAAATAAATCCAGGCAGCAGTTGCATAACAGCTTTCAGGTGAACACACCACACTAAAGATCAATTACAACTCTTTTCCCAAGTCCATGTTCAGTGGACCTTTTTTTTTTTTTTTTTTAAATAGTAGATATGTAAGATTTGTTTTAATTTAAACTCTTACAGTGCTAAAAGGTACCATATTTTCTTTAGCTGCTGACACCTCATCTAATTTTGATTCTGTAGTACCGTAAAGCCATTAGCAATTTCATTTAAAAAAAAGAAAATCTACACTTTGAATCAGAACCATAACAGCTGTCAGGAACAGGCTGTTAGTAGGAATTCATGAGTAAGTCACAGTATTTTCAAATGATATTTACTTTGATCAAAATATTGAACTTAACTATATCCTATATCCACAAATAATGTAAATATTCTCTCCAAATAAAATGTTCATTGAGGCAGTTAACCTTAAGCAAATATTATTGTAATGTAAATTTTAGATCAACAGTCAAACATTCATACAGGAAATGATCCTCCAAAAACTACATTCTGTCAAGCCAGATCCTGAAACTGATGCATGCCCTGTTAAATGCGTCTTGTTTTCTAAACTCAGCAAAATTAACTATTAGACTCCATACACTGCATCTATGCTGCTACTCATGTCTCACATGATTAGCACTCTTGATGAGCCCAATGTGCAGAGCAGCTGCAGTCATACCTTGACATGAACATAATGAATATAGACACTCTCAGAAGTAATCTGACCCGATGATGTTGTTCAGCTGCCTAGAGATAAAACTCTGGAAATAAACTAGTTCCTTCTAAGAGACAAGGGTGCACTGTAAGTTAAAAAAGAAAAAAAAAATAAACACACACACACACACACACACACACAGAGAAAAATCACCAAATGGAATTGCGTAATTTCTCCCAGTATCTTGAAGAAAAGCACACAGTAAAATATGTTTTATATTTTAGGTTTTGGCCTTGGCTATTTGTTTGCATTTGTGCTGGCATTTACCTCGGTAAAGATAACACATGCTCATATCTGATTAAATAGCTAGTAGTATAAGACTCCTGCTTTTTAGTAACTTCTATCCTTGATACATGAATCAGAAAAAGAAGTATGACTCTACAAGTTGTCATTTTTAATACTGCATGTGTCAGAAAAGCATAAGAAAAATCAATATGTCAATTTGAAATAGAAGACATTTGTAATGCTAAAAGCAATGCTACAATGTGTTTTCAAGCTATTGGTAAAAGTCAGCATGCAACAGGAGCAAAAAGGCAGAAGGTATTTTTAAGAAAAATAATCAAAATAACATTATCGCAGAACTAAACAAGACGGAACAATATGGTAGCAACTGAGCCACTTCAACTTTTCACTGTAAAGAACTTAACTGAGAAGTGTCATTCCTTCCCCGATGCCTCCCGAAAAAAAGAATTACAGATAAGAACAGACTCAAACTAAAATATCTCTCAACTAAAGTAAACAATCAAGGACACAAATTTTGTTTTCAGTTTAACCCTAACCAGTCCAAGAGTTTCACTGGGATTATACAAGATTTAGCTGGAGATGGGATTTAGATCACTTCATCTGATAGCTTATAAGTACATGCATTCTAACAGGAAAATTAGTCAAAGTCACACAGATGATATTTTTACTGCAGTGGACTCCACAGAAAACCCTGTGAAATTCAGCATGATTTGACAGGGCTATAAATTGTTTACATTTAAATAAAGCAAAATCTATAAAGTTTTCCAGTGAACTTAAGCTGCAAGCCATATATTATGAATATCTGATTTGCACCTCTATTTGATATATAACTGTTTGCATGATTAAATATTTTAAGGAAACAGAGGAAGAGACCGAGAAAATACTATATCATTACTCATCTATGGATGAGTATGGAAAGTATCCTAAATCTTACTGCACATCCAATTTAAATTTAGCTTTACAGTTCTGACCGCTATTTACACATATACCACTGTGTCCATTTTTCAAGTTGGCTTCCATTTTTGTAACACAATTATACTTCCAGCAAAAGTAGGACTGTAGTTTTACCCTATAATATAAATACAAAATTATTATGCCCATTGTTTGGAGCAGAGTTCAAAATCATGGTGCAAGTATACTGAACTAGGCTGAAAAAAAAACCCATCTGAAACTATGGCAGAACAGAGCTTTTCTTACTTGCTGTCTCTACTTATCTCTGTGCAGCAGGTATTAGTCTTGTTATTTTACTTCCAAAAAAGTAGGGACTTGACTCAGTGCTGATGCAACAAACCAACCAAAATCCTCCACTATTGCTAGGAGACACAGTATTTGTTCACAAATGCTCTTTGAAATAAGAATATAGAATAATCACAGAAAACTCACAAGAACTCTGCCAGTTAACGTCTGGGCAGATATCATGACTCCTGCCCAGTCCTTCACGGAGGTCATCCATCCCACTTCTGCTGCCACATTCTCCTCTTTTTCGTCTGTAGGTTTGCAGGTCCCATCTGCCTGTGTATCTCCACCACCATTGATCTTCTGGGCCTCCTGCAAAATAAGGTTTTGAGTTTGTTAATACTTAACAAATTGTCACCAAGAGTCAGCATACAGTTGTGGCTATACTGTCCATGCTAGCAAATAAGCAAATCAGTCCTCCTGCATTCCTCCTGCAGGAAAGTAAGTAGGCTACGTCACCACGTCCCTATAGAAGTAACTGTTCTAAAGAACCAGACTACTAACAGCTAGCTAATACAATACTCCTTGACATTAAATCTGAAAAATATATATATGCCACCAAACATGCTATATGTTCTATCCCTACAAGCAGAATAATTGCCAAAAGCCATGTATGCAATTATGCAGCTACATATAAATGTGCTTATCAGACATACACTGAAGGAAATTTTGATTTATTTGTTCAAATCAAAGTGTACTAAGTTTGAACATAAATTATGTACAATTTGAATTTATTATCACTAGAACTAGTTATCTGGGTAAGCCTTCTCTGAGAAGCATGATGTAACAAGACAATAATTATCAAGCATGAGGGGAACAACATACACTATAGAGAGCCTGCAGGGAGCTGCCATGCTATCAGTGAACCAGTGTTTCAATGAAAGTGTTTAATATTTCACAGGAATCCTTCTGTCAGTAAGTGTTGGCTCTTGCAGAAAGGAGAGCTAGAAATTAAAGGAGTCTCAGCTGCACTAAGCTAACTGATGAGTCACATGCATTGGAATTCATATCAGTCTCTCATGGATGCTGCAGCAAGGATGTCGTGCTTCTGTAACTGCCTATGTGCTACAGGCACGGGTGCCCCACAAAAAACAAGGGAAGTGACAGGGAAAGCCAGCCTGGATTGTACAGCATTTCAAACAAATCATATGCAAAGTATCAGACTGTGCCACAAGCATAGCTTTGGTGACAGGGTAGCAGTAACACGTTCCTGAATGCTTCGCAAGTTATGTTAAACAAATAAAAAGCATAGGTGAGGCATCAGAATCCAGTGCTGAGGTAGGTATGCAGCACTTGAACTGTGCCTATAGATCTATGTTAGGTCTTCGAGCGCTCCGCACAGACCAGCAGCTTGGAAGACCTTGTTTACAGATCATTTTCTTATAGGCCACTAAGCATGAAATGCTATTAATCCCCTTTGGATTCCTGTTATAAAAGCAAGACATTCAGCACCAGCTGAGAGGTTATTACTACAGTAGAAACACTACAGCATCTCCATCAGAACGCAGAACTGTGAGATGACCTTGGGCATGCAGCTGGACATATGGTCAAGGGCACTTCCTGAGAGCAGTACTGAGCTCACGAAACAGTTGCACTGAATCTGTCAAAGGACAGCGGAGTAACTCTAAAAACGCAATACGGCGCCCAACAGTTGTTTTTGCAGAATCATACGGTTTTGCATCTTAATTAGCTAATCAGATTCTTCTCTGCTACTTTTCTACCCTAAATGCGGGCTCTATCTTGTTACTAGCAATTACAATACAGAGCATGATGTGGCTATATTGTTAGTAGCAAATTATTCATAGTTACAACAGTAATTCAATACTTTTTGAGCAAACAATCAGACAAAAGATAAAAGCTATGTTTTACTTGCATAACTGGACCTCATTCAGTGATAAATATGGATACAATGAATCAGATGCTTTGCAATCAGCATTGAAAGAAATATATTGCATTACACAAGCACAAACTACGGAAGTGAGCTCATTGCTAAAGACAGTAATTCGCGCTAAAGCACAAGACGTTTCCACAAGAGTAAGAATTAGCTAGGGACAATATGTGACCCATGTCATCACCGAGCCATACAAGTTGGTCCTAAAGAAATGCCCCGACCACCACCAGTATTTTGATTATAAATCAGAAGAGAAAGAGAAACCTATCTTCTTTTTTTGTCTGAAAGGATGATGCAGTTGTTTCTACCAGACATTGCAATAAAACAGAGCATTGAGTTTTAGGTGATCACTTCTCCAGGGTCCTGTGGGCACCGACCCTGACTGGTGTCCCTCCAAGCCCTGACCCCTAGCTCAGCCCACCCGGGGCCGTCAGCCCCAGCCCCGCGACTCCGTGGCGGTGCCGCTCCAGCCCTGCCCCTGGCCGGCCACGGGCCCCCCGACCCTCTCCCTGGCCATCACGGAGCTGTATCTGACCCCCGTCCCCCTCCCCGCGGC